AGGACGAGCTGCAAAGTCCTTACTGCAGCACGAGCTGCGAATTGTAGGAGCATGAGATGTGAACTACTGGAGCATGAGCTGCGAGCTGCTGAGTTCTAAAACACGAGTTGCCGAGCTCAAAAGCACGATGCAGAGCTCGAGCAAGATCTGCCAAGCTGCCTAGCTCAAGCTGCCGAGCACGAGTTGCAAACACCCTGCTGGAGCACAAGCTACAAATACACTACTCGAGCACGAGTTGCAAGATGTGGAACACAAGCTGCAAGCATCTTGCTCAAGCACGAGCTGTGAACATCCTGCTCGATCACAAGCTATTTGCTGCAAGCTGTGGGTATTGAACATGCTAAAGGAGTTTGTTGGGCGCCAAGCACAACTTAAGGTGGAAAATGAACTTGTTTACATGTCAGGCGGGATCATAAGCCTGGAGTGTCATGAAGAAGCTAAGATTGTTGGCTGCAACAAAACAAGCGACCCACTCCCAAAATAACAAGAGGTCACAGACTTGCTGGAATCGTAGAGTGTCAACACCCTCAACAATGTGTCGACACCTTTTCTGCATCAGTGCCGAAGAGTCCGTGTCGGGTTTTTGTCCTCCTCTGCAAATTCTGTTAACGGTAAAATTACAGTCCCGATCCCTTACTTATGGATTCTGCACAATTTAATCCTCAAATTTCATATCTTTGCAATTTACTCCTAAGGATTGTGACTTCTTCCAATTAAGTCCTTTCCAGCACAAAGCATGAAAATTATGTAAATTAAATAAAATTTCAAAAACTCATCCAATATCAATAATATCAAGTCATAAATTTTACATTAATATATATGAAGGAAGTATACTTTCTTGATTATAAGATTGGATGCCTTTGATTTCTTCTTTTTTCAAGTCCTTGTGATACAGGTTGTCAAGAAAGCAATCAAGCTCCGTAGCAAACTAGAGCTTTGGTCCGAGCTTGGTCCAATCTTATATTAAAATTTATTATTAATTGCTTTCTGTATTTCTTGCATTTGTTCTACATTTTTTCCATTCATTATGCACTTGTTTTTGCATTCATGATATCATTTTGCCATCTCATTTTTTATATATATCATAATCATTCTATTTTGCTCATTTGCGCTCATGATTATAAATATATATGTGTTGCTATTTTAGAGATGGAAAAGTGCAGGGAACAGGTTAATTAGGTTGGCCTAATCAACATATATGAAGCTCCCTATACAATATCAAAAAGTTAGAAGCTCCTCTGAATAAATTCAGACAAGGAGGGGGAGAAATAAAGGGAGTTCTACATTCTACATTCTACATCAAAGTTTGAAAAACAAGGGCGTGAATAACTTGAGCTTGCCCCAAGACCTCGTCAACAGATGAGCAGGGCCAAGCAAGATCCAAATCTCCATTTGGTGAGCTCTTACATCAGTGTTATCCTTGAGCTTACCCCAAGACCTCGTCAACAGATGAGCAGGGCCGAGCAAGATCCAAATCTCCATTTGGTGAGCTCTTACATCAGTGTTCTCCTTGAGCTTGCCCCAAGACCTCGTCAACAGATGAGCAGGGCTGAGCAAGATCCAAATCTTCATTTGGTGAGCTCTTACATCAGTGTTCTCCTTGAGCTTGCCCCAAGACCTCGTCAACAGATGAGCAGGGCTAAGCAAGATCCAAATCTCCATTTGGTGAGCTCTTACATCAGTGTTCTCCCTGAGCTTGCCCCAAGACCTCGTCAATAGATGAGCAAGGCCGAGCAAGATCCAAGTCTCCATTTGGTGAGCTCTTACATCAGAGTTTTATCTACCACTTAAAGGCCCCATCAATAAATGAGCAGGGTTGTGCAAGAGCCAAATCTCCACTCAGGTTAGGCAAGATCCAAATCTTTATTTGGTGAGCCTTTCAAAAAGCATGACGAGCTGAAAGAGCTCCAATAGAGAATGACGAGCTGACAGAGCTCCAACAAAGCATGACGAGCTGACAGAGCTCCAACAAAGCATGACGAGCTGGCAGAGCTCCAACAAAGCATGACGAGCTGGCAGAGCTCCAACACAGCATGACGAGCTGAAAAAGCTCCAACAAAGCATGACGAGCTCACAGAGCTCCGTTGAAGAATGACGAGCTGACAGAGCTCCAACAGAGAATGACGAGCTGGCAGAGCTCCAACGCAGCATGACGAGCTGAAAAAGCTCCAACAAAGCATGACGAGCTCACAGAGCTCCGTTGAAGAATGACGAGTTGACAGCCAACAGAGAAGGACGAGCTGAAAAAGCTCAGATAAAGAATTACGAGCTGAGACCTTACATGAGTGGACTCCTACGCAGAATTACAAGCTAAGACCCTACATGGGTAAACTCTTATGAAGAATTATGAGTTGAAATCCAACCTGAGCTTCCTGGTTTCAGGTCGTCACTCCTGACCTTCCTGGTTCCAGGTCGTCACTCCTGAGCTTCCTGGTTCCAGGTCGTCACTCCTGAGCTTCCTGGTTCCAGGTCGTCACTCCTGACCTTCCTGGTTCCAGGTCGTCACTC